CAACTTCAGAGGATGGCGGAAGACCGGAAGGCCTGGCGTGATCTGGTCCATGGGGTCACGAAGAGTCGGACTCGACTGTGCGCCTGAACAACAACAAAAAAGGATATAGGATACCCAAGTTCAAATCGCTGCTCTGCCATCACGGAAGCTTGCTGGGTGACTTTGGGCTAGTCACACACACTCAGCCTAACTTACCTCACAAGAATGTTGTGAGGAGTAAATGGAAGACAGTATATTGTAAGCTGCTTTGGGCTATTGGAGAAAAAGACTAGATAAGTGAAGTAACTGGCAAAACGTCACCAGTGAGTGGAGATTTGAATTCAGGCTCTTAAAAGGTACCATAATAGTACCATTCCAACATGCCAACTGTTAAGTTGCTCCCTTAACAAAGTAGTCGGAGAGTGATTCAGCAAAGGTTCAACTTTATTCAACAACTCCAACACAACTCCAACAGGGATCAACATTTGATAGCATTAAAGCTGTTTAATGATTTGCATTAAAGCTGTTCCCTTTTTAAACTCTACCGCTAATGTAGCCACGCCTGCTATACAATTATCAACTGATAAGGTTGTATAAATAAGGACCAATCGTTCTGCTCAGGGAGCTTGCTGACCAGTGATTGGTTGGTTCTTCCTGGGCTAGCAATGTGATTGGATGGATTTGGAGCCTAGCCCAGAACGAAGCTTTACATGGCAAGTCAATTATGTAGTTCACATATTATTACGCATTCAATGGCAGCTATTGAATACATTACAACAACCACCTTGCAAGTTACAACACCGGCTTTCTGTTTCACTTCCGCTGGCGGCAAGAGACTTTTAGCGCCTCTCTAGCGGCTACAACAAAGCTGCTACGGACAATAGAAAAGCAGTTTAAAATGCACCGAGATCCTGATTCTATCGGCGGCCATAAAGTCAGTTTGCGTGCCCCTTCCCATCCAGTCCAAATGGCTCCTAGCGTTTGAGTGTAACGAAAGCGGATTCCAGGTTGAGGGCAACCACGAGGCTTCCACTGCTGCTACTGAGCATGCTCCAAGGCTTGTGAGCATGCGCAGAGGAGTCCCCTCGACAACTTGGCGGCGGCGCGGTCCGGTCTGAAGGCCGGCGATGATGGCTGCGGCCGTGGCTGCCGGAGGGATCTTCGCGTTCCGCGACGCCCGCTGGGAGCCTGACCCGCAGCTCGAAGCCAGCCCGGCTGTTCGGGTGCCTCAGCCGGCTCCGCTGGTGCTGGACAACGGCTCGTTCCAGCTGCGACTGGGCTGGGCCTGCCCGGACCCCGAAGTGCCCGCCGAGCCGCTGCTCTGCTTCCGCTCCTTGGTGGCCCGGAGCCGGGGAGCCCGCGGCGGGGCCGGCGTCGAGACGCACGTGGGCAACGACTTGGGCAGCCCCGAGCCCCTCCGGTGGCTCCTCCGCTCGCCCTTCGACCGCAACGTGCCCGTCCAGATGGAGCTCCAGGAGCTGCTCTTCGACCACGGCTTCCAGCGCCTCGGCGTCTCCTCGCAGGTAGGTAGGCAGGCGGCGGCGGATCGGGCCCTGACACCACCCTCAGTGGCCCTGAGTGAGCAGGCGAGTTCTTTTGCGCCATTGAGCTCGAGCCTGACTTGCACGGTTGCTGCTTCACTTATTTCGCCTAATATTCTTAAGAGAGTACTAAAGATGGGGAAAGGCAAGGAATGAATAAGAAAGAGAGGAGGGACAGTGGAAAGCTCTGCATGGGGACATTGGTCTTTGAGTTGGATTGCCTCTGCACAAAGTCGTGCTGTAACCATCATCTGCAATCAGCCTCTCTGTGTGGATGAGGTGGCCTGTTGCCAATGACAGTTGTGGGGAATAGATCCAGTTGGTCAGTCGTGTTGGTTTGAAGCAGTAGAACGAATTTAGAGTCCATTGGCATCTTTAAGACCACCAAAGGTTTATTCAAGGTATGAGCTTTCCTGTGCATGCACACTTTTTCAAGTGCATTGAGACTTATAGCCAGAGAATGAACAGTAAGTTAACATGTAACATGATGGTGTTGAAGATATGCAAAGTGATAGTGCAGTATCCAAGGTTGTATAGAAGCAGTGATCATGGATGATCCTAAAGAGAAAAGGATGTGGGCAGCATACAGCAGAAATCAGTTATCCTGGCTCGTAGCACTGGAGATCTAGAACAGCTTCACAAAACAATTAAGCTTTTCTTTGGTATAACTCATTTAAATTTTTGTTAATTCTTCCTCTTCCCCATCTGCCGGAGTGGTCCCAAAGAAGCATATGACCATAAAAAGATGCACTATAACTAAACAGAATAGCAAACTGCATCTTGGGCTGATCCTGGCTTCAGAGGCTTGTGTATCCCATTTCTCCCGTTGTGTATCCCATTTCTCTACGGACCAGCTCATGATAGCTCACAAAGTAAAAACAATACAATTAAACAGTCTGAAAATAAGCCAGGGGCATAAAATAGCATAAAACAGGCATGTCCAACTTCGAACAGGTAGTGATCTATTTTTTCCGGCCAAAAGTGCCGGTGATCTACCACCATGAAAATAAAGTTTCAAATTAGATTTTAACTCACTAAAGTTGGGTTCCACCACGCCCCCCCCCCCCATTTATAATGCACTACAAACATATTTTATTTTATACCAGGAGACCAAGTGGGGCTGGTGATCTACCTCTGACCCCTCCGCAATCTACTGGTAGATCACGCTCTACCTGTTGGACATACCTGGCATAAAACAACACACAGGTCATTTAAAATGAATCCATAAAACAGTTTTCAAGCTTAAAAGCAGAATGCAAAAACAACTTTAAATGATGGAACTGATGCCTGAAAAGTGAGGACATGCAAGTGGTGAGGTGCCAAGTGGTGAAGCCATGCAACCCAACCCATATCCTGGCTGTTGTAGATATTGTGACACTACATGTAGCAGGAGGGATTTCATGGTTTGGCCCACATGTTTTGTGGTATGGCCAGAACATTATATTCAAACTGTAAAGATAAGACATAATATTAATACACATTGATTCTACTATACTTCTCAGCAGCTTTGAGAATCTTTGTAGACCACCTTTGGGGGTTAGAGCTGGGAAGCACCATTCTGCAGTGCTTTAGTCCTGTCTGGATGATAGGTTTCAGAAGGTGATGCTGGCAGTCTGCTACCTGGCCTCGTAGGGTCCAACAAGGTTCCAGGTTGAACCCCAAGCTTTTAAACATCTACATGAAGCCACTGGGAGAGGCCATGCAGAGATATGAGATAGGATGTCACCAATATGTGGATTATATTCAGCTCTATTTTGTACTTCTAGGAGATCACCAGGAGACTGTGAAAACTGTGAAGCAGTGATCCATGAACTTAGGCATTCCCTGTTCTGGATGGATCACACTCCCCCTAAAGTAACAGGTTCGTATCTTGGGGGTGCTGCTGGACCCAGGCCTCTAAACTGATAAACAGGTGACTTCACTGATTTTGCTGAACCCTTCCTGGGTGAAAAGGATCTTGCCCCTGTGGTGCATGCCCCAATGAACATCTAGATTAGACTACTGCAATGTGCTGTCTGTGGGGCTGCCTTTGAAGTGTGCCTGGAAGTCACATTTGGCACAGAATGTTGTGGTCAGAATGCTGACAGAAGTAGTTCATAGAAACCATTATCAATCCACTAATCCTCTGCCTACAATGGCTCCCAATTTCATTCTTGGCCAGCTCAAGGTGCTGGTATTGACCTTGGGGCCAGCATATTTTAAAGACCTTATGAAGCCACCCACAATGTTTGCCACCAGCAACTGGTATTCAGAAATATGGTGCCTCTGAACAAGGGGATTCCATTTATTTTTTTACTTAATTTATGCCCTGCCTTTCTCCCCAGTGGGGAAGGGACCCAAAATGGCTTACATCCTTCTCTTCTATTTTATCCTTGCAACAACCTTGTGAGGGAGGTTAGGCTGAGTGTGTGTGACTGGCCCAAGGTCACCCTGTGAGCTTCCACAACAGAGTGGGGGATTTGAACCTGGGTCTCTCAGAGCCTAGTCAGACACTCTTAACACACAATCCCAAGAGAGAAATATTAAGAGTTGGCTAATTTATGTGTTCCATGCTAATACAGTTATTAAGAGTCAGTATTTATCCAAAGAAGGGAACTTGGAAGTCAAATTAAGAAGTTGGCTATTTGCGATATTCCTTTATCTTCCCAAAAGAAATTAAAAGCAGTTAATGAAAACTGGGTTGTTATGGGCAAGTAACCAATTTTTTTCTTAAAAAAATTTCCCCAAGCATTATAACCAATTTTTCCCCGAGCCAATTTTTAAGTCATCGTTGAGTATGTGCTAAGTCAGAGGTCCCCAATTTTTTTGACCCTGTGGGCAGCTCAGAAATTCTGATACAATGTAATGGGCACAGCTGCAAAGTGGTTGGGGACAGGAGGTGGAGCCAGCCACACAATGGCTGCTGCAGTTTACCTTCAGTCATACAGGGAGGATTCTCATGCTGTGGTGGCAGCTGCTGTCAAAGCAACTTAAAAACAAACAAACAAATTGCAGAGCCAATCAGAAGCCTTGCTGGGCAGAAGCCCTACCCACTTTCTCAAAACACTCGGCAGGCACCAGAGAAAGTCTCAGCAGGCGTCATGGATCCCATGGACGTCATGGACCCCCCCACATCAGGGACTCCTCTGGCCTGACCCAGTTGCTACGTAATTAAAACTTTTCCTAGCAGTGTTAATTTAGTATGTGTTAAGTTATCTACTGGCTTTACTCAGTTGCTGCATTCCGCCATAAAGAGGTTTGTTTGTGATAGGCCTGAGTCTGGTTTGTTGCCAAGCACACACATACACACACGCTCCTCATCTCCTCTTATGCATAGATTTAAGTTTTCCTGGCTTTAGAAACTTTCAGTCAAACTCCATTCTGCCTTCCATGAAGGTGGGTAGCCGTGTTGGTCTGAAGTGGCAGAATAAAGTTTGAGTTCAGTTGACTCAAACTTTGTTCCATTCTGCCGCAATGTTTGAAATGTAGAGTACCTGGGCAAATTACAGTTTGGTTTCCCCTCACAAACTGGGACCCTGAATTACCATTTAATCCTTGGTTGTCTAGAGACTTGGATTCAGACATTGTGACAAATAGTAGTTTGAGGGCTTCTGAAATAAGGAGGTTTTCAGTCGTGCAGCACAAGTGAGGTGCGGAAGGAGTCAAACTTAACCCCCATCATAAATAAATACTGGTTTGTTTGTAAAGTTTCCAGCCACAACGAATCAGACTTTCAAAAATCTGTTCTGTGAGGTTTATGCTTTCTTGATATTCCTACCATGTTCTCTTTTCTAGTACAGTTTAGAAAGTATTATTCAGATTGTGAATGTTTTAGCGGTTTAATTTGGTTGTTAGAATTACTGTGTGGTGTGATCCTTGAGCGTTTTTAAACCCATCATGCTTTCATCACTAACTCCCCCCCTAAAGTTTAACAACCCAATATCTACATATGACCTTGATTTTCATAGATGTCAGTATGGCCTGTTAAAGACCTTTTTCCTCATCTCATCTTGGCTAAGAGATGGGTCTGTTCTTTCCTAGCTTCTAGCAAGTGATTTTCCCACCCTCCCTTCTCTCTTCGGTGACAACCATGTTTTACTGTTAGAGTTGCACAAAGATTATTGTTTGCCTAGTTGGCTTTAAATCTTTTTTTGTTTCTGTGGGTTGGTAGGCTGGATGCGAAAAACTGCAGGCGTATCAATCTCGGGGGTTGCCAGGCTGCTATGTACTTGCAGCGTCTCCTGCAGCTAAAATACCCAGGGCATCTGGCTGCCATCAGTCTTGGTCGTGTGGAGGAAATATTGCATGAGCACAGCTATGTTGCGGAAGATTACAGAGAAGGTAGGTGTTGCCATCACGTATCCTGTATTCTAATTTTATTTTATTATGTTCTCCCACTATTTGGCAGAAGTGTCACCCCAGCCCCTAGGATTCTGGGAATATATTTTTTTTACTTAATTTATGCCCTGCCTTTCTCCCAAGTGGGGAAGGGACCCAAAATGGCTTACATCCTTCTCTTCTATTTTATCCTTGCAACAACCTTGTGAGGGAGGTTAGGCTGAGTGTGTGTGACTGGCCCAAGGTCACCCTGTGAGCTTCCACAACAGAGTGGGGGATTTGAACCTGGGTCTCTCAGAGCCTAGTCAGACACTCTTAACACACAATCCCAAGAGAGAAATATTAAGAGTTGACTAATTTATGTGTTCCATGCTAATACAGTTATTAAGAGTCAGTATTTATCCAAAGAAGGGAACTTGGAAGTCAAGTTAAGAAGTTGGCTATTTGCGATATTCCTTTATCTTCCCAAAAGAAATTAAAAGCAGTTAATGAAAACTGGGTTGTTATGGGCAAGTAACCAATTTTTTTCTAAAAAGATTTTTCCCAAGCATTATAACCAATTTTTCCCCTAGCCAATTTTTAAGTCGTCGTTGAGTATGTGCTAAGTCAGAGGTCCCCAATTTTTTTGACCCTGTGGGCAGCTCTGAAATTCTGATACAATGTAATGGGCACAGCTGCAAAGTGGTTGGGCACAGGAGGTGGAGCCAGCCACACAATGGCTGCTGCAATTTACCTTCAGTCACACAGGGAGGATTCTCATGCTGTGGTGGCAGCTGCTGTCAAAGCAACTTAAAAACAAACAAACAAATTGCAGAGCCAATCAGAAGCCTTGCTGGGCAGAAGCCCCACCCACTTTCTCAAAACACTCGGCAGGCACCAGAGAAAGTCTCAGCAGGCGTCATGGATCCCATGGACGTCATGGACCCCCCCACATCAGGGACTCCTCTGGCCTGACCCAGTTGCTACGTAATTAAAACTTTTCCTAGCAGTGTTAATTTAGTATGTGTTAAGTTATCTACTGGCTTTACTCAGTTGCTGCATTCCGCCATAAAGAGGTTTGTTTGTGATAGGCCTGAGTCTGGTTTGTTGCCAAGCACACACATACACACACGCTCCTCATCTCCTCTTATGCATAGATTTAAGTTTTCCTGGTTTTAGAAACTTTCAGTCTAACTCCATTCTGCCTTCCATGAAGGTGGGTAGCCGTGTTGGTCTGAAGTAGCAGAATAAAGTTTGGGTTCAGTTGACTCAAACTTTGTTCCATTCTGCCACAATGTTTAAAATGCAGACACCTGGGCAAATTACAGTTTGGTTTCTCCTCACAAACTGGGACCCTGAATTACCATTTAATCCTTGGTTGTCTAGGGACTTGGATTCAGACATCGTGACAATTCAGTCGTGCAGCATAAGTGAGGTGCGGAAGGAGTCAAACCTGAGGGATTTGTTGACAATCTCCCGTAGAGCACCTCGCATCCCCTCGTGGCCAGCTTTAATCAGCCAAGAGGGGCACGGAGGGCAGATTTTGAAGCCGGTTTGCAGGTCCTGGTTAAAGGTAACTGGCAATCTTGGCCTCTGTGCTGATGTACTTTTTTACCATAGTTAGTGCTAAAAAGTGTGTTTGAATCTGTTTTATCAAGATTTCATATGGGTCAGGAGCTGTTCAAATGTGGTAGCTTGCCCAAAAGAACAGTTTTGTAAGCAAATTTTAAAAATCATATAACTTTAGAAATGTGAAAGTATTGAAACAGAAGATATTGAGGGGGCTGAGTGCATGGTCAACAGCTAGTTGTAGGGAAGATGATTTAGAGAAAGTAAGTTAAGAGCCCAAACTTCTCACCAGTAAGTCTCTCTCACTTCTGATATGACAATTGGTATGAGGGAGGATTCTGCTCCTAAGGTGCAGGAATTAGATCTGGGTATTCTGGCTGTTGATTTCAACTTTGTAATTATTTTGGACTATTAATACGCACCTAGTCTCTCTCCTCCCTTTTGATCTTTCACATCTCCTACATCTTGGTGCAATGGCATCGGCGAAATTAAGCACATTATATAGGCTTGTCTCATAATGCTGAGCAAGGAGCTAGCTAAATCTCCCTCTAGCTAAATTATTTCCCCTTTAATTCTCAGAAGTGGTTTCCTTCTCGATCGCATTTGCATTGGAGTTGGGCTTGGTCACACCTGGCGGAATTGGTCATTGTGCCTTTAAAAAATGTCTTTGGAACAGAGATGGCGAAGTGGAGGTCTCCGGAGTATTACGAGGAGAACGTGCATAAGATGCAGCTGCCTTTTTCAAACAAGCTCCTGGGGAGCACCCTCACCTCCGAAGAGAAGCAGGAGAGGCGGCAGCAGCAGCTTCGGCGCCTCCAGGAGCTCAATGCTCGCCGGAGAGAGGAAAAGCTGCAGCTGGATCAAGAGAGGTTGGACAAGTTGCTTTACGTTCAGGTAGCTTTACAGGAAGTTCAAATTGCAGCCTGGGGGGGGGGGCAATTGGAAGGGGGAAGCGGAAGGAAGTGAATGGCATGTGCAAAGCCAGCTCCAGCGCCAGTTTGGTGTAGTGGTTAAGAGCACAGATTCTAATCTGGGAGAACCAGGTTTGATTCCCCACTCTTCTACATGAAGCTTGGGTCAGTTGGGGTGTGACCTTGGGTCAGTTACAAGTTCTCTCAGAGCTGTTCTCTCATGAGCAGTTCTCTCAGAGCTCTCTCAGCTCCACCTACCTCACAAGGTGTCTGTTGTGGGGAGGGGAAGGGAAGGGAGATTGTAAACTGCTCTGAGACTCTGAGTGAAGGGCAGGGTATAAATCCAATCGCATACCAAAGTTGCCAGCAACTAAGAAGTCCCTTCTTCACTTGACAGTTTGTCATTTTCTCTTTGCATTCTGCTGAGCAGTGGATGGGATCTTCTGTAGTATTTGATCCCCAGTGGCTTTTTTCTCATTTTATTTTTTTATTACTTTTTCTAAAAAAAAGAAGAAGGTGGGATACAGAAGGGGAAAAGGGGTAGGGATAAAATATAGATTCATCAGTTTATCCCTAGTGGCTTTGTTGTACTCAGTTGGAAGTGTGTACAGAAAATCAGTGGTGTGTTAACATCCAGCACTGTTGGTTACAGAAAGAAAGAAAAGCTCTTTCCTTCTGTTGTGTTTGCCTACAGGAACTGCTTGAAGATGGCCAAATGGAGCAGTTTCACAAAGCTTTGGTGGAGCTGAATATGGACTCTGCGGAGGAACTTCAGTCTTATATCCACAAGCTGAGCATGGCAGTCGAGCAGACCAAGCACAGAATCCTGCAGGCTGAAGTCAGTGTTGAAGTGGATGTTGTAGATAGCAAGCCTGAGGTACAGCAGTGGGGTTATGTTAACAGACTTAAGCATCTGCAAAACAGCTACAAGACTTGTGTCCCGTTGGCTGCGCTACAGCTTCATGCAAACGTTTCCCTCTTCTTCTAAAGATGGTTCCTTCTCTTTCTGTTCATCCCACCTTATTTCAAAAAACAGCATGAGAAGGCCTCCACAGAAGCTCTTGGTGTGCCACTAATCCTGCCACATAGTAGCCCAACCTTTGCTAAATGCAGAAACCTGAGCAGTTGTTCAGTTTGAGTATGCTTGGGAGACACGCTTACAGCCCTTCGTAAGTGCTTAAATAAATATGGCCTCTTTGATACTGAGGATGGGAAGGCGATGCCTGTTAAGGAACTCTCAAAACACTCCTGGCCTTCTCCTATCTCTGAGACTCCATTGTTCCCAAGCTTTCCTGGATTTCTGGTAGAAAAGGTTGAGGGAGGTGAAATATTTATTTATTTATTTGATTTATACCCCGCCTTCCGCGCTGAAGCGGGCTCAGGGTGGCTGATATGGAGAGTTGTAAGGCAAAGGTGGCTTTTTGTTAAATTGCTTTATGTTGTTTCTAGTCCATGTTTCTCACTGAGACAGTGTGTAAGTCAATATGGTCAGTGGGATGAGACCTCTAATAAGCAAAGTAGCAGGGCTAGAGTTGCAGCAGTCTGAAACAAGGCATAAGTGTTTGACATAATCTTAACCCATGCAGAAAATGATACTGCATAAGTATACAAACAAAGCAGTGAGTACGATCATGCCTACAGCAAACAGATAATGCATACTGTACCTTGTGGTATAGTTCATAATCAGTTTCCTTTTATGAAAGCGCCTTTCTGAACTACTCCATTATATTATAGCCCTATTATTGTATAAAAATGCCCTCCTGAATAATTCGTCTTTATATTGTCTGTGGAATGATACCAGCATGGGAGCATTCCTCACCTCTCAGGCAGGCCATTCCATGAGATGGGGTGTGTGTGTATGGGCAGTTGCTGATTTTGCTTATCTGTAGGGTGGCACTTGCAGAAAGCACTGCTCAGAAGGGCAAAGCTATTGTAGCAGAGCAGAAGAGGCAGTCCTGTAGTTGCAAGGGTCTAAGGTCATGAAAGGCTTTGTATTTGGTAGCCAGTACCTTGAATTGAACCTGGTAAGGGATGGGCAGCCAATGGAGTGACTGCAGAATGGGTTTAATGATCATGCTCCACGTAGCCCTGGATAGTACCTGAGCTGTAGCATTATATACCAACCAGAGATGCCTTCAAGGGCAGACCCATGTAGAGTATATTACAGTAGCCTTGAAGTTACTATGGAATGGATCCAGGTGGCCAGATCAGCAAAGTCAGGATAGGGGACCATCTTCTTGGCTAAATGAAGTTGGAAGAAAGTGGGGGGGTTTTGCAGCTGCATTAACTTACTCCTACAGCACTAATGCGGGATTCAGTATAACCCCAAGCTCTTAACTGAGTCAGCAAGGGTCAGCTGAACCCCCTCGGAAGCACAGTGTCCTTCAATAATCTGGGAGGAGGCAGCAGTCTGTTGGCTGTGATCAGCTCTCTACTTCAAGAGGCAGGCAAGTTAAGATCAACTCAAGGTCAAATATGAGGGCACTTAGAAAAAAGAATGCTTGCCCAGTTACGTCTTCCAAAACATGGAGTATATGCAGAGTTCAGAAGCAGTTAATGGCATGATGTGCCACATTCTGACTTCAGGTTCATAGCAATCTACCTACACTTTTACATCAGCAGTGTGTGACTTTGTTTTCATGGTCATTTGAGCATGAACTGAAAGTTATGCCTTTGGTTTTTCGCCACCAAAGTACCAACTGACTTATGACAACCTCATGGGATTTTCAAGGCAAGAGACATTCAGAGGTGGTTTGCCATTGCCTGCCTCCATGTCATGATCCTGGTATTTCTTGGGTTGCATGGGTCTCCCATGCAAATACTAACCAGGGCCAGCTCCAAAATCTGATGCGACTGGGCTATCCAAGTCAGGGCTATGTCTTTTTTAGCAGGAGTTCTTTTGAGGACATCTTTCTTGCATTCAGATGAGTGTTTAATTGTATGTAACATTTATTTTTATGCTGTGTAAACTTCTTGAGAATATTTGCTGAACTTAAAAATAGTGTATTTGGTTTACAACTGAGAGAATCAAATTCTTGGCATGAAACTCCTAAACCCAAATTACCTAGTGTCAGAATTCCAAGTGAAGTAACCTACATCAACTTTGAAACCTGCCCACTAATTAATATGATGATACAGCCAACCGTGTACTGTGGCAGCTTACTCTCTCACTTTAGCAGTCTGTTTCCAGGCGTAATACCTATTTTCACTGATTATTGCTGCCTGAAACTAGCAATTTTCCAAAATTCACATACCATTTGTTTGGCCAGCAAATATTTATTTTCCAGCATCATCTGAACAGGGTACAGAAGAAGGTGATTGATAGACCTGTAGGCAACTGTGTAAATGTACCAAGTCTGTGCCATCTTTAATATCTGGGTTAACTCAATGCTTTAATTGGGACAAAAACACTTTTTGCTTGAGGAATGAGACTGATTTTTGAACTGATACTTTAACAGCTTGGTTAAGGTAGTTAGAAATCTGTACAAGGCTTGCTTTTGTGGGGAGGGTGGGGTATAAAATTAATGAATTAATTAATTAATCACAAACACAAACCCTTTGTTCACTCAACCTGCTTTCCTAAGTGTGCTTGCTTGAGAGTGAGCGTACATCTGTTCGCCTTTTCCAGAATGCAGTGCTGATGGAGTTTGGCCAAGATAGAAGAATAGTTCAGAATGGTCTCAGCTGCTTTTAAACCTTGGCATGTTCATGCTAGTTTGTGTGACTTGGCTCTTTACTGGAATAATCTGTGGTCCTTTTCCCTTCCAGACTCCTGACCTGGACCCATTGGGCAGCGAACACTCCATGGATGATGTGGAAAGCATGAATGAATTTGAGCCTTTATTTGCTGAGGAGCAACCTGAAGTTGAAAAGGCAGTCACCACAGTACAGGTTTGTCATTCATTCTGTACAGTCCTTTTCCTGAAGTCCATTCCATCCCATCAGAATTTGGGCATGATCTTGGAGGAAGCTTATGCTCAGATGTTTACCACAGCCTTGGGTTGACTGAATGGCTCTTGGAGGAGAGTCTCTTCTTTGGCTGAAACTCCTTATCTGCAAGATAGGAGTAATTTTCTCATTCTGCCACTTGAGGTAGCCTGCCTGGTATCAACTAGAGTAGACATGTCAAACATACAGCCCGTGGGCCAGAACCGGCCAGCAAGCAGCTGGGGGCAAATCAGTCTGAATATGGACCGGAAGGGCCTATGTTGGGGTATTATGCCCCCTGCTGAGGTCTCTCCCTTCCCAAAAACAGGTCCTCCCCAGGGTCCTCTCCCAGATCTCCTGGGATTGCCCAGTGCCCAACCAGTGTTCCCTCTAAGCTGAGTTAGTGTGAGCTAGCTCACAGTTTCTTAGCCTCCAGCTCACACATTTTTGTCTTAGCTCAGGGAGGAAGGCTCCAGGACAAACTAATTTATGCAGTAGCCAAATCACCTGATCACAACTTTAATGCCAGTAGCTCCCAAGGTAGAATTTTTGCTCACAGGACTCCACAGCTTAGAGGGAACATTGTGCCCAACCCAGAATTGACACCCATAAGGGGTGAGGAGGGCTGGTTTGGCCTTGAGCTTGGTGCAGCCAGACCCCTTGCTGCTGCCCCTTGTCCGAGGCACTGGGCCGGGAAACGCTGCCTACTACTGCTGACTTCTCCTCTGGCCAGCACACGTTGGGCTTCTGTGTCTGCCACCTAGGCTGCTGGAAAGATGGCTGGCTGATCACACGCGGCAGGCCGAATCTCTTTGGCCCCACCTTCCCGAGCCCAGCTGAGCAGCTTCCCACTTGCAGGCAGCCAGGGGAAGGCACCCGCAGGCACAGGCACCCATGGAAAGCCACTTACGTAAGCATGTGAACAGAGTGACTGGCTGGGTCGGGCGCATTGTCCATAGGAGCCCGGGTGAGAGAGAAAAGCCTGGTGCTCACGTAAGGGGTGCTGTGTGTGCAGAATGCTGCGGGTCAGTAGCAGAGGGGTCCTGCCAAGTTGGGTGAGTTGGAGCCTGCTAACCCGCTGACCCAGATCTGTGTGGCTCCCCTCCTGCGTCCCTCCCTCGGCATCATGGGGAAAATTAAATAAGAGGCGAAGCCGAAATGCACACATACTCCCTGGGTTTCACACACGCAAGCACTGCCTCATGTAACAGTCTGAATGGAAGGGTGTGTGTGGCATGTGAGGTGAAGGTCAGGCACAGGAGCAGGCATTTAGATAAGCACACTGGGTTTGCATGCAGCAGAGGCAGGCGGGGATGTGTGTCTGTGCACTTGCACATGAGGAGTAATATTTTGGGTGGTTGGATGATGCCGTGAAGTTGGCAGAAAATAAAAGTCTGCAGAAGGCAATTAAATTGAAGCTGGTGTCTTTGGAGAGTGGCAGCACTTGAAGATTGTTTGTGGTGCTGGGGAACATTGCAGTTCCCTTTGGGGTTTGAGCTTGTTGCTGAATTTGGGACTCTGACAGAGGGAAGTGTGGGGCTGTGTGGCAGCCATAGCAGTTTCTTTAAGGCAGGGCTTGTTGGGTTCCCCTGGCTGATGCCACTTGGCCACCTGTCTTTGGCTGCCGCACCTGCACCAGCGGAATGCAGCACTTCATGCTCCAGCTCATCAAAAGGTTATGAAATGTGTTAGCCTTTAAAGAGCCACAAGAGTCTCTGGTTGTTGCAGCTTGATTGTCAGGCAGTCGCTCTCTGCTGTGCAAAACGTCTTGTGCACGGTGACCAAAGGATGGTAAGTTAGGTGCTGAGGAGGGGTGTGGGTCACAGTGAGTGGTAAAATATCTCCAGTACCTGGCATGGTGTACACGGCCTGGTCCAACAAAGTGACATTTGTGTCAGATGATGAAGAAGAAGAAGAAGAAGAAGAAGAAGAAGAAGAGATTGGATTTATACCCCGCCCTTCACTTGGAGTCTCAGAGCGGCTTACAAACTCCTTTCCCTTCCCCTCCCCACAACAGACACCCTGTGAGGTGGGTGGGGCTGAGAGAACTCTGACACAAACTGCTCTTTTTCAAGGACAGGTGTGCCAGAGCTTGTGGCTGACCCAAGGTCACATCAGCAGGTGCAAGTGGAGGAGTGGGGAATCAAACCCGGTTCTCCCAGAGTAGAGTCTGCACACTTAACCACTACACCAAACTTGCCCTCACAACAAATGAGTTTGACATCTCTGCCCTAGAGCCTCTGCCTTTTGGATTGTGGATCCTGCTCTCTGGAACAGTCTCCCTGAGGAAGATGGGGGAGAACCATCTCCAGAAATTTTTAGGAGATGCTGCAAAGTTGTTTTATTTGCCAGGGAGCTTAATGGCTGCAGACGTTTTGCAGGGAGATGGCGGATACTTAGGATTTTGTTAATTATTGTATGTTTTTAATTGCGGTTTGTAAGTCACCTTGAGCTGTGGGGGAAAGTATAAGTCATTGTGTGGCTTTAGGCAAGATGGCGCCCCCATCATCTGTAATGTGGGAATAATAATACTGGTCTGCCGTCTAGAGTTAATGCAATAACAGATATGACTGGGATATCTTGAATACTCCAGAGAGGTGTGGAATGCTAAGTATTATTATGAAGAGATGCTTGACCCACTCTAAAACCATATAAACCCTTCCTAAGAAAACACACTGCAGATATATTGCATGCACTTTGTGCCTTGTTGTAAGCCGCCCTGAGCCCGCTCGCGGGGAGGGCAGGGTATTAATATAATGAAATAATAAATAAATAAATAAATTTAATAAATAGATACTTGTAGCACAAAAGGTTTTTTGGTGTATTATTTTGTCTTGTTTTTTTCCCCCAAACAAAAAAGGTTTGTCAAAATCAAAACCAATAGTGGTGCCAGACACTGTGCATACACAAAAATGAACCCACCCCTCAGGGTTAAGAGACCAAACAGACAAGGGAAGGGGAGGGGAAAGGTGGGTGTTGTATTTGGCAATGCCAGTTCAAGGCCATGAGTAGTTAACAAAGTAGGATCGCTTTCAGATCTGAAAGCGGTGCAGTGATTTATAGAAACGCCTTTCCCTGAATAGTGGGCCCAGAGGCGCTTAAGTAATTTGCCCAGTGACAGGAACCAGAGTTTCTCTTTCCACTGGTTTCTGCAGTCATAGGGAAACTGGCAGAGGTTTTTTTTCTGTCAGGGAAGAGGAGGTGAGTTCTTTGTGGCTGATGGTCGGTGCTGAACTGGCCTTCACTTGCCATGTTTCTCCTGGGAAGGGGTCCAACCTTCCAGGGGACCTTGGCCATGTGTAAGTGCAAGGATGATTGAAGCTTAGAGCCTTGGCTCTGCTGGAGCGTTTCTGCCAACAGAGGGATTTCCCCCTCTGGCACAAGACTTTCTTACCTGCCTCCTTCCACTGCAGTCCATAAGGTGTAGCATGCATTGGGCACTGGTGGGGGGGGAGATCCCTCAGTCTGTGGAAACAGTCTGGTGGAGCCAAGACAAAAATTGTAAAATGGTTTGCAAGCAAGGATTGCTTCAGCCAGCCCTGTTGATTTAGGGTAATACTCCCGCCTCTCTACTTGGGATTAAAACCTAACTTGATGAAACTTGCTTCCAAATAAATGTGGTTAGGTTTGAACAGTTCATTGTGGGCCCCTTCTGTAAGGGCAGCCTTGTCCCATTAGGCCATGGTCTGCCGAGTCACTGGACACTCACAAACAAAACGTCTGGCTGCAGCGGAGATGGCCATACCAACCAGTAGCTGTTCTGGGTTAGCAGCTGCTTCCCAGAGCCCCTGGAGGTTAGAACACGCAACATACTCCTTAATAGCCCATGGGTGGTCCTGAGCAAGAAGGAGCTGGGCAGAGCAGGCTGGGAGCCGATTTGCTGGTGGTGATTGGCCAAACCTGATAGATGGCTCAAGGCCACAGCCCAACTAAGCAGGCACTTGAAATCTGCTGGCAAGCCAGAAATAGCATCTGCAACTACTCATCATGTCAATCAGAAGGCAGAGACTGGCTGAGGAGGTGGATCTGGCAGGACTAACGGGTAGGTTCTTGGGGGCAGAGCCACTCCCATGGATGGGAAAGCCCACCTCTTGGGAGGAGCCCAGGTAGTTGACCATGCCTGCTCAGACTAGGGAGGAGCCTTAATAAGAGGGGGGAGGAAGAAGAAGAAGAGATCGGATTTATACCCCGCCCTTCACTACCCGAAGGAATCTCAGAGCAGCTTACTAACTCATTTCCCTTCCCCTCCCCACAACAGACACCCTGTGAGGTAGGTGGGGCTGAGAGAGCTCTTTCAAGAACTGCTTGTGAGAGAATAGCTCTGAATGAACTTGTAACTGACCCAGGGTCACACCAGCAGCTGCATGTGGAGGAGTGGGGAATCAAACCTGGTTCGCCCAGGTTAGAGTCTGCGCTCCTAACCACTACACCAAACTGGGAGGTAGACCCAGCAAGAAGGAAGGTTGGAGAGTAGATGGAGAACCAGAGCAGAAGAAGAGGAGAAGAAGAGATTGGATTTATTCCCTGCCCTTCACTTGGAGTCTCAGAGCGGCTTACAAACTCCTTTCCCTTCCCCTCCCCACAACAGGCACCCTGTGGGGTGGGTGGGGCTGAGAGAACTCTGACACAAACTGCTCTTTTTCAAGGACAGCTGTGCCAGAGCTTGTGACTGACCCAAGGTCACATCAGCAGGTGCAAGTGGAGGAGTGGGGAATCAAACTCGGTTCTCCCAGATTAGAGTACGCACACGGAGCTCTTGACAGAAACTGCTCTCTTTCAGGTACAGCAGTGCCAGAGCTTGTGACTGACCCAAGGTCACATCAGCAGGTGCAAGTGGAGGAGTGGGGAATCAAACCCAGTTCTCCCAGATTAGAGTCCGCACACTTAACCACTACAGCAAACTGGCTAAATCATGCTAAACCTCTTCTCAATTCTGAGGCCCTGGGGCTCTGTGGGGTGGGGCATGGAGATCCCACCAATTAACACATGGAAGTAACAGTCCTTCTCTGTTGGCCTCCAGTGTCGGCAAATTCTGTTTGGCTGTCTTAGCTTCAGGAGTTGGTACTTAGCTGGTTCTGAGAAGAGCACACCTAACTACATTTTGGTCACACCCTTTTCCTAAGGAGCTCAGGCTGGCCTAACAAGGGTCTCCTCTCCATGTTAATCTCACAACAGCCCTGAGAGAGGAACTGGTCCAGCCAGTCAGCCTGATGGTGGAGTGGGAATTTGAACTGGGGTCTCCTTGGTTCCAGTCTGGCCATTTAATTACTACACTACCTTAATGTAACTTCACTTCTTCCCAGCCTGAACATATTACTGGAAAAATGTCTCCCTCTCTGTAGAAATTGTTGTCATCTTGATTAGACCTGATACAAATTATACCTAACAAGGCAGTCATCACCTAGATTTTGTGATAAGATGAAGCTGGGGGGTGGGGGGGTGGAAGCATAGAATAGATACTATGTTGGGGGGCACTTTATTCATATGTACAAATTTTAAAATCTAAATTAGTGTTGTTCTTTTAAAAGAAAATGACTGTAAAGCAATCCTGGTTTTGAATCTCTTGTCTTTACAGCCTGTATTTAATTTGGCAGAGTATCACCAGCTGTTTATCGGCACAGAAAGAATCCGTGTTCCTGAAATAATTTTCCAGCCATCCTTGATAGGAGAAGAACAGGCTGGAGTAGCAGAAACCATGCAGTTTGTCTTGGACAGGTTGGTTAACAAAATCCCAAATCCCTTGTGTTTTTATATAATAGCTGTAGGGTTTTTTGTTTGTTCATTTCCTCTGCCTTCTCATGAAATATGCCTTTTCTGGCTAATTGTGGTGGTTCTACAGCTATAGAGAATTTCTGGCTCGGCAGAACATTAACAATGTCTCTAAATCTTAAGAGCATCTTAAGGAACGCAGTAATACTATATTGGTGTGGCAGGTTGGCTGTGAAGATGGCAGTGTTAGTTGAGAGCAGACACAACTGGAGCCTGTTGCAAGTCTCTGACCTATGAAAAGCATACTGTTTTGTTGGCCTCGTTTTCAATGCAGGCCCAATTAAGGTGGTGAATCTGTGTCTTGGCTGTATGACTTCAAAGGGTCCCGTGGTTGAATGCAGGTCCACCCAAAGCAATTGCCTTCACACAGAACATTGTATACTGGGGAGAAGGGTTATAAAGCCTGTCTTTCTCTTTGACACCTGGCTTTCTACACAGACAAAATCCTTTCATGTGGATGAACAATCATCCATGGGAGAGCCCACCCTGTTATCTGAAGTGGCACAGTCCAGGCACAAATTTGCTGCCTCATTATGAGCTTGGTCTAACATGATGTAGATGTCTGCTTAGAAATAGTCTACTAACGATTCTGTGTTTTAAAAAAAATCTAGCCATTGCAATCAGAATCTTGCTTGATTAATAATATGCAATTTTGTTGGTTGTTCACTGAAATAGCACACTATGTCTGGAATTTTTCTCCTTTGGTATCATTGTAGAAATTTTGGTTCGCTGAAATAGCACACTATGTCTGGATTTTTTCTCCTTTGGTATCATTGTAGAAATCCACATTCTTTGTGTTGCTTATGCCTTGCATAACTAAATAATAATCTTTTCTTGTATGAAGAACATTGATTTGTTAACTGTATACAGACTTTCCTGTGAAGTACTCAGAAAATACGGTTATTGCAGACTGATAATTTATAGTCCTGTATTGGTCCTTCTCTGAAGGAGATTTATGAAATGAACACACTATCTGGAAACTTCGTTAGAAGACTCCATTTGACTCTGGACCCTCATTTCTATTTGGAAATGTTTTTGTATAAATGGTGGATTATTACTAGACACTCTTTTGTATTATTGTTGTTTGAATAGGCAGACACTTTGCAGTATTGAGTTTGTTTCTTATTTAGCGCTTTTGCACAGCCTTCTTTGTTTCTTCTATAGCTCTAGCGGGTGTGGTTCTCTGTTTTTTTCTGCAAGGGCTCATGAGGCATAAAAAGCCCCCAGTGATCTGGGACTGGAATCATGGGAGGGGGACAGGAAGCACGGGTGTGTGTGGGGGGGAGTCTCATGACAGAACCAATTCCTACTCCTGGTCTGTTTTCTTTCCCTTGGCTTTTAGATGTACTTTGTTCAGTCAGCCTCAGAGCTGAGTGCTTTTGATTTCCGTGGAAGCTTGAGACTGGTCTGGATTGTACCCATTAATTGAAAGTAGGTCCCAAAGGGGATTTAATTCAGTTTCATATGCTCTGAACTGACTACGAGGATGGAATGAATGCATTTTTAGATTGTTAGATAGAACTTACAGAATCAGACTCTTTCCATCACTTTTTGCAGGGTCTTATGAAAGCAATTAGATAATACATTAGGTATGTCATTCTGAGCTGTCTTAAGTGTAGTGCTTGAAGCAGTATGTGCATTTACAGTTTCCTGTGTCCGTGGAAAATATAAAGAGGTTTGTTTTACGTATATATACCCCCAGTTTTCTTCCCAACAGGGGTCTAAAGTGGCGTACAACAATATCCTTTCCTCCTCCATTTTGTCCTCACAGTAACCATCATGAGCTCAGCTAGGCTGAGAGTGACTGGCCCAGGGTCCCGTTTTCTTCCCAACAGGGGTTTAAAGTGGCGTACAACAATATTATTTCCTCCTCCATTTTGTCCTCACAGCAACCACAATATTATTTCCTCCATTTTGTCCTCACAGCAACCACCATGAGGTCGGCTAGGCTGAGAGTGACTGGCCCAGGGTCACTCGGTGAGGTTCCGTGGCTGGCTAGGGGTGTCTCCTAATCCCACTCTAACCACTGCCTCGCTCTGGCTCTCAGGAACTCAATCCTCATCCCTTTTGTGGCAGGCAAATATAATGAACGTGGGTTTTGTTTTTGAAGTAGATGAAGTGCTGTTTTGTTTGTTCAGGTACCCCAAAGAGCAGCAGCAAAAGCTCGTCCAGAATGTCTTCCTTACTGGGGGAAACGTGATGTATCCTGGCATGAAAGCCAGAATCCAGAAGGAGCTGTTGGAAATGAGGCCCTTCCAGTCATCTTTTCAGGTAGCATATTTGACTCTGTCAAGACAATGGCGGTATGTACTGTTTAAACACTCCGCATGCCAATGTCAACAGATTTTTATGAAGCAGTTGAGGGAGAGACCTTTGAGTGGACCTGAGATGTTGCCTGGGTTATCCTGTCTGCTTGCAGGAGAGTGATTACAGAAAGCTTTTTGTGGCCTTTGAGGGCTGCCCTTAGAAGAACCATGTTTGTCGTGCACGCAGATTGCGGAAGAGGGGACCAGGTTCAGTCAGACAGCTTTGCTGTTACATGTTGCCATTTTGATTTCTGTAACACTTAGTTGAACTAACCAGGCCTCTTTACCTTCCTTGCTGTCACGTAGGTGCACCTTGCCTCTAATCCAGTGCTAGACGCATGGTATGGTGCTCGGGATTGGGCCCTGGAGCACATGAACCGGGAAGAAGGCTGGATTACTAGGAAAGATTATGAAGAAAAAGGTGGAGAATACCTGAAGGAACACAGCGCTTCCAACGTTTACGTACCTATTCGCCTCCCGAAACAGGCTCCACGGACAGCTGAAGCTTCAGCATCCAGCAAGGCTCTGGGGCCTGCTCCTAACAATGTCTCTGAGCAGACATAGGATGGAGACTGTGATGCTGTGTAATGTGAAGGTTAGGAACAGCCGGTTTTTAAGGAGGCAACTTTCCAGAGCAACAAGAGAGTTGCTAACCTGTGAAAACTAAACTCACAAGTCCCAAATTTCTTGTTGGGCTTGCAACATTTGGCATCTTGAGCAGTGAATCAGCTGCTAATTTTTTCCCCCAATCCCTGCAGTGAGGACTCTGAAGTGCAACCCTATGTTGCCATGAGATCATTGCTGACTCTACATCTGTCCAAGGTGTAAAAAGAGCAAAGCAGATATTTCAGAGAAAATGCTTATTGGCCTCATTGAGGCTAATTCATTCTCTGTGTGTTATATGAATAGATCTATGTTTTAAAGCTTTATGCAATGTAAATAAAGTCTCTTTTTATATGGGTTTCGTTCTCAAGAGCATTTTTCCTTGCTCCAAAATATAGCAGCGTTACTCCAGAAGGGGGCGCTTTCACCTAAAGGAAGACAGAATTTTAACAGACAGGCTGTTCATTGGAACTTGTATTTAGAAAGTTTTCTCTTGAGCTGACTGGAGGATTTTCCTCTGTTTGTCCCTTAGCTAATGCAATACGTGTTCTGGTGACGGAAGCCGTATTCTGAGATAGCTATCGTAACAGGAAGTTTCAATGATTCCCTGTTGGACTCTAGGTTTATAAAGGGTTCATTGAGTAACAAAAGCTGGGGGTTAATAATGCAGTGTGATTCTTTTGATGCCCTTGTACTATTGCATCAAAATATTAATTGAACAGCCTCCATCTCCAGTGTCCATGAGAGAACGAATGCCTGGTTTGTTCTTGCTTATGTTTAGCACCTGTTGTTGTTTCACTCCCATAGTGTCTTGCGGATTCTGTTCTGGATGAATGTGTCCCCGTACACTTAAACTTCACCTCTATTATTCAGAATCCTAGTTATGCATTTAGGGAAAACTGTAACTCTCATGGCTACAGCACAAAGTATAGTCAAAGCAATTAGCCCAATTTTACACTCCAATTTCTAGCAGCCAGTTACTGTAAGCACTAGCTAGATGTTCTGTTGTCACCTCTGTTAGGGGCTGATCAGAAATTTTTCATAGATCTGAAGGTGGTGGTATTGGTATCTACCCTTTCTTTTTTGTCTACCTGTGGTCCATATTCCATATTTCTCCGAGTGGAGCTTTTTTCCTGGCTTTCAGCAGGCCTACCAAAGTATCATCAACTTGGGGTTGTAAATTTCATTTAATAAAGCAACTGTTTAAACTATATCGTTCACACTTTATCTACCCCATACAATAATCTTACATATGTCGTTTAAACATTAATAAGCTCACACATTATCTACCCCATACAATAATCTTACATATTATCAAGTCTTCTACTGATTTTTAAGAAAAATTAATGTGTTAATATGCTCTGGTGCTAGTCTTGTGCCTGAGTATGCATGCAAAAAGACAGTGTGTCCAACCACTTGTGAGGGGTCAGTTTGTTTGGGGAAAGCACTCTTTTGGCGCTAAATTGTGACGGAAAGAAAATAACGGGCCCCCCAAGAGTACAGACCATTGTCACCAAGACAGGCTTAGTTTCAGGTAGGTTTTTACCCTGTTTAATTTGCACATGGCCATTCTTGGAATGTCAGCCAGTTTCTCAATATCCTTTCCTAATGGTGATAGATCTGAACACAGTACTCCGGATATCACCTTAACCAGTGTTAAGGAGAGTAGTATGATTGACTTCCAGTTCTTGAACACAATGCTTGTATTAGTACAACCTTTGGTGTTTGTCTCCCCCCCCCATTAACCTCCATGAAAGCTGATATGCTAGAGTTCGTGATCTTCATCAGTGAACACATTTTTCAGAATTCCATGTCCAGTAATGAGTTCAGTTATGCAGAAATGTGGAATATACAGAGCCTTAAGGACAGATCTACAGGAGGGACAGATGGCTGCATAAATGCACATGTCCCATCTTTTAATCACAATTATGAGAGCTGGAAACCTTTTATTAAAAAATCCAATAATAATAAGAGATTGGATTTATACCCTGACCTTCACTCAGAGTCTCAGAGCGGCTTACAAACTCCTTTCTCTTCCCCTCCCCACAATAGACACCCTGTGAGGTAGGTGGGACTGAGAGCTCTTTCAAGAACTGCCCTTTCAAGGACAGCTCCTGTCAGAACTATGGCCCAAGGTCATCCAGCAGCTGCAGTGGAGGAGTGGGGAATCAAACCCGGTTCTCCCAGATTAGAGTTCGCACACTTAACTACCACACCAAACTGGCTCAAGAGCAATAATATGAGTATGCCTTGTTGAAACTTAAGACAGTGGATATTTTGTGCATCTGCTTTCTTGGAAGTCTTCTGGTTTGAATTGGATCCTGCCTGGCTTGGATTTGGATCTTACCTAGCTTGTACATGGGGAAGATTTCACATCCCCCCACAGGAGACCTCAAATGTATTTTGGGGGGTCCCTTGCCCCCCCAAAAACAGTATTTTAGGTGTGCTTTGGGCTGCCATGGGAGAAGAGTTGGTGGACATTGCCTCCCCACCCAGAAAAGTAGCCATGATCGAATCCATAGGATCTCTATCCATAGGAACTCTATCAGTAGAGTTCATAGAAGGAGGACATCTTTCCATAGATATGAGCCATAAAGAGAAGAAGAGGATGATATCTTACTTGAGCCAGTTTGGTGTCATGGTTAGGAGCATTGACTCTAATCTGGGAGAACTGGGTTTGATTCCCCACTCCTCCACATGCAGCTGCTGGTGTGACCTTGGGTCCATTACAAGATCTTTCAGAACTGTTCTCTCAAGAGCAGTCCTCGAAAGCTCAGCCCCACATACCTCACAGGGTGTCTATTGTGGGGAGGGGAAGGGAAAGGAGATTGTAAGTCACTCTGAGACTCCGAGTGAAGGGCGGGATATAAAGCCAATATCTTCTTCTTGATTCCTCGATGTCACTGGAGCTCCTTGTCCTGGGGCTCATTTTGCTTATGCAGCTCTGCTGATCCTCGAGGCATTTCCAGATAAATGGCAGACTTCTTGGAGGAGGAGAAGGTGGGGAAAGGTCCGTTCTTCCAACACCATCTGTGAACTCAACCAGTTGCTCAGCCCAGTATCTTAAAAATTATCTTTCTGATTGTACTGATTTATGTTGGTTTACAAAAATACAGTCCCTCTGCAGTTGAAGCCAGCATCAAAAGTCCTATTAATTTCATTGGGGCAGATTGCACCTTGACTTCATGCTGAAAAATGAAAGGCAGAATAAACAGGTGCTACTATTTTCCTTCCACTCTGCTCTCTTGGCAAGCTTTCTAGCAGCACTTTGGCATCAAAAGTCATTCCCCGAACTCTACCATTAACAGCAATAATGGTCAATTAAGTGTACCAGGAAGTAATGATGAGGAAATAACAAGAGACGTGTTGATTTCAGCTGCTCACAAACAAAAGAAAATTAATGTTTGCCAAGTGGAAAATGTTAAAATCAACAGCAGGGGAGAGGGGAGTAGAATAAATATTTTTCGAGCTTATAACAGTCTTACAAAGCATGGAATGCCATAGGAACTAAGTCTGGACTTCTGGGCACCCTTTCCAGGGAAAATGTCCTACTGAACTTAGTAGACCTTTGTTCTGTGTAAATATTCTTAGGGTCAGGCTATAAAACACTTCATTGGTTTTCTTAGAATTTACCATTGAGGTAAATTGAATTGCTGCCTCTTCACCAGCAAGCTGTGGTGATCTAAAGCTTGATTTCCAGATGCCTTTTTGTATTACAGCTTTCTGTGGTCTTATTCATACGTCAGGAACATCATGGGAACAAATCTGGCTCGTGGCTGGACTCTTGAATACTTTTTCTCTTACGCAGCATGAAACAGATTGCAATCTTCTGTTCAAATAAACCAATGTGACCACAATCCAGGATTCTAGACTAGGATTAAACCCTGGTTTAGAATCCCATTTTATAGAATTAAGCTTGATTGAAGGCTTCCAATGAGGGGAGAGGGAGGGGGAAGTACATCAGCACAAAGGTAGTCTAACATTATTCCCGTCATGACCAGAAATGCTTGTTGCAATTTATAAATGTTTTTTGATATGCCATAAAGGTAACCAGTTGCATAGGACTGAATACTTCAGAATGTGTGCAAGAATGGTTGGATATGCCAAAGGTAACCATTTGCATAGGACTGTATACTTCAGAATGTGTGCAAGAATGGTTGTGGACACAGATTTTTCCCCAGCAGCTTTCCAAGGACTCCGAAAAGCTATTCCCCAACAAAGTTAGCTGATGAGCTCCTCAGTTGAGAGAGGTTTGTTTGGTATCAGCTGCTTCAAGTGCCCTTCCACCCCCACCCCCATGTTTTGGAATGAGTCTCACCTAGGATCTTGCTGTCTGTCTTCAGGAGGAGCTGTCAGGTTGCTTGAACAGAGAACGTTTCTCAGTTTATGAGTGTACCTCACCTGCATTTATTGTTCTGAAGTTAATGGGATTTTCCAATATTTTTTGTGCTTCTGAATCTTGAGTCCTAGAGTATAAGGTGGTTGATAAGTATACAAATGGTAAGTCATGGGAGATATGTGAACAAAATATTGTGGAGCATGGGAGCTGCTATGAAGAGTGGGATTTGGAGGACTTGGGCTCTCTTCACTCTTGACATTGGAGTTCCCACCAATTTGAGCTCCTTCAGTGTCAAAGGAGTACCTTCTCTTATGGGTTCTCCCTCCTAACCCCCTTGTTTCTCCCCTCCCCAAGTGTCCTGGGGTCCTAGTTCTGCACACTAAGGTTGTTAGAAGCTTGATCTGTTTGAAAAAGTAACTGCTTTTTACTTCGAAATGGACTTTACAATCGGGTGCCACCAGTATTGGTACTGTCTGACTTCTGGGTTAAGTTGTACCTTTCAGCTGATGCCAACACTGATGCAGGCTGCTCACGGTCAGCCTCTCTGTTACCTTATTGGAATGTAAATTCAAAGGTGTGTGCTCTTCCATAAGTGATGGTGGCTTGGCTTTTTCCCTCCCTTTATTCCTTTGTTGTCCATTCAGCAATTTAAAAAGAAAGGTACATTTGTGGTAAAGCTGTTGGCTCGTAGGTAGGTTTTCCCCAAGAGTTCTGTCCCCCCCCCCCAACAGATCAGGTTTTAAACTTTTGTCTGAGCGTATATCCTAGAAACATGCAGGTCTTTGGGAACAAGCTATAGATGGGTGGAATAGTACCAAATACTTGTAAAATAAATGAAAATGCAATTGGTAGCCAGATCTGTTTAATATTGAAGCATCCCTTGCCCATTTGGAGAGAGATGGTTCAAGGTACTGCAACTTGTCAAAAAGCCTCCTGA